GTTATTAATTTATTGTAAAAACATGACAGATAATGTGTGAAACAGATCCAGTTCAGCTGCTGTTCATCTATTAGTTTCTGTTTGCTGTGAGCTGTTGTCCTGTTTGTTGTTTCTGCTCCTCCAAGATGTCACAGACTAACAGTGGACGGGATGGGCAGGGCTCAGTCTAGTCATATTTATTCAAGTCTATGATCATTTCTAACAAAGATCCAGATGTTCACACCAGTATTTTCTTTGCTCATGCTGTTTGTTAAAGGTTCGGTTCTGACCTGTTTCTGTTTGAGTCAGAGGAAGGAAGACGAGAGAATTAAAGGAATGAAAAAGATCCTTCTTGTCTGCTGAGACGCAGCTGTAAAACACGAGAGGAGGATAAAGAAACTGCAGCGTTGTGTCAGTGTTTCCTGTGTGCTTTGTGTTTCCTCTCTGGAATGTTTGTGGCTGCTCAGGTGTGCAGGCTGTTAACAGGTGTGTGAGTCAGTGCTGCACGCACACACACACCTGATTCTGAGATAAATACAGCAGCCGAGGATTAGCAGGGACTGTTAGTCTGGCAGCTATCGGACCGGTGGTTAACTCAGATCTCTGGTTCTGTGATGGACAGGTCGACAGGTGAGCTCACCTGGACTGTGATGTTTGCTGACAGGGAGAGAGGGACAGACACACCTTTACACTGTCAAACATTATTATGTTTTTATCAAAAGAAACAAAATGGTGACAAATACTTTCCTGATTATTTAATCTTTATCGTCTAAGATGACTCGGCGTTTTTCTTGTAATGGAGCAGTTCATTTACCTGACTGTAAATAAACAGACCTCATTTCCTGTCGTCTCATTAACACTCTGTCCAAGTTTCAAACCATGATGATGATGATGATGATGATGGTGCAGGATCATCATCTCAGAATAAATAACTGATGAGGTCATTTTTTTACCAGAACAAGTGAGGATGACTCCTTCATGTTGCCTCTTCATCATCATGTCTGAGTCTGAGGAAAGGTTTGTCTTGTTACCCTCTGCTGGTCTGATGAGGCAGTTCTAGACTCAGAACCTCAGGTCCAGAACTGCTGGTCCTGTGAGGTCCTTCAGGTCTTTATTTGGATCCTTTTGATGTTTTCAGTGCAGCTGGGCTCATTTTGAGAAATAAATCATAAATATGAGCCATCACATCGGAACCAGGATTAAGTCCAAAAGTGCAGAAACAGGCAGATACAGGGTTTTTATTTAAACTTGTGCAAAAATTGCATTTTTTTTCAAAATATAATGAATTAATGTCTTATTAATGAATCATTTGAACGAAGTGTCTGAAATATAATCCTAAAATTTTTGAAGCTTTTTTTTGAGCAGTAGCAACAAAAAAACTGATTCGGAAGAAAACCACTTTAAAATTTTGACATTTTCCCTGTGAGTTAGCAAAGTTTTGTTTCTATTTAGCTGGGAAATCTCAATATTCAAATGTAATTTGACGTTTCCTCTTCATAATGACATCAAAAATTCCTCATTAAAATGACATAAAATTAGGATTCAGACCAAATATTTATGTATTATTGTAACCAACAAGACAAATCAAGTCATATATAGGGATTTAATTATGATATCAGGATGATCCAGGGATCAAAATGTAGTTTTTAAATTCAAGAATCTGAAAAT